GTAACCAAGAAAAACGAAAAAAAAAAAGCAAATTATTGATAATATATTTATTTTCTAGCTTCTTGTTCAACGTCAAGAAAGTGAACAAGAAGCAATTCAAAAAATTTCAATATTAACATCAGATAGACAAGCATTGCAAGAGAAGAATGCTCTTTTACAACGACAATTAGGCAATCTTGATCTTGAAAAACGTGAAGCTGAAAGATCAAAATTACGTTTAGAAAAAGATAAAAATGTTTTGAAGAAAACATTAGATAAAGTTTGTTTATTTTTGACATTGTTCGTTTTTTGTTTTTGAAAATATTTAATTTGATTTCTTGTTTATAAAGGTTGAACGTGAACGTGTTGTTACTGAAGATATTCTTCGTTCATGGGATCGAGCAGAATTTGATCGACAATTTCGTCGACTCGAAGAAGAAAATCAAGCTTTACAAAAACAAGTCGAACATTTACAAGCAGCTCTTAATGAATCCGAACAACAACATGCACAACGGTAATTCATTTCTAAGAATAGAGTATAGTTCGTTAGATTGGTCCCGAATTTGGGATCAATCCGATGGGCTCGAATGTATACAGTCAAATTTGAGCTTAGAAAAAAAAATTTTTGAGAAGTTTAATTGTTTTGTATTTTATATTTGTAGTTTAATTGATTTAACAACACGTAACAGACGTGAAACCGAGGCTGAAACTGAACGTATTCGTACATCTCAAACAGCTGCTGAACGTGCTTTAGAAGCACGAGAAAAAGCACATCGAGCACGTGTTAAAGGTCTCGAAGAACAAGTAATTTTAATAGTATATTTAATATTTTGTAAAATATTAAAATTTAATTATTAGATTACAACGTTAAAAGAGCAACTTCATCAAGAAATGCGTAAACGTCAAACATTTTTGACTCGTTCATTAACTAATGGAGATGAAATCAGTGCACTTCGTCGTGAAATCACTGATTCATTATCTTTTGTATCACAAGATCCACGTGGTCTTGATCCAGTTCTTTTAGATCATGAAACAAAGCGATTAGCAGATATAAATGAACCACCTGTACGTCATCGTTCACCAAATAGACGTACTCTATCACCATCTCTTGCCGTACGTTCCATGAGAGCTGCAGCCACTGCAGCTGCAACATCACCATCTCAAATCAGTTCTCAATCACCTAGTACACGTGCGAGATCATCACGGCCACGCTATTAACAAAATATTCTATTAGACTAAAATATCTTGCCTACCTGTAGACAATAAAACGCAAAAGAAATTTCGTACATATACACATTCAGATTCTTTCAAAACAGTGTGACCAATCGTTGTGAAATGTAAACAAACACACACACTAGTATTTGTTAGTATGTCTTGGTAACAAATAGAAAAGAAAACCAGTGACATCATTTGCTAACAGTGAAATTTTCATCTCAAATTGCCTTAGAATAGATATTTCTTTTTTTAAACTATATATAAAAAAAAAATCTTCTAATTAATCTCTTCATTTTGCTTTTTTCACCTTTTTAATCTCAGAATGCCGTCCATTCTTTTTTTTATTGTAGCTTTATCTAGAATAATTTTGCCTTGTGGATGTGTCAAATATTTTTTTTGCCTTTTTTTTTAAAACCTGTTTTTTTTTAAATATTTGTCATATTTATGTGATTAAGACATTTTTTATCATAGCGCCTTGTGTCTTTTAAATATACTCACTTATATTTCTATGACTCTATTTACATGCCTATCCTTTCGTATGGTTTGTATTGCATTTTTCTCCTATTACAAATAAACAAGTGTATTCTGAAATTTTATTAATTGAATAAACTTCTAGAGAGCATGTTCGAAAAAGTCTTAAGGAAAAGAAAACACCATTGTTTTCTGTAACAATTCAGCGTAATTATACGAAGTTTTTTAGTTTTATATCAGAGAATACCAACCGTTTTCGACTGCAAAACTCGGGAAATTATAGGAACTTGGAAGCAGAAATCTCGTTATGCAATTGATGACCAGCTTTGTCCAGTTACAATGGTTTTCGATCAGAACTGGCAAATGCTGGATGCTGGATTCAATCACCAGGATTCATTCTTTCAAGTTCCTACCATTTCCCCGAGCTTTTCAGCGAGTTCTCGTCGAAACCCATGAATTCGGGATTTTTTGCGGAAAAAAAAAGGATACATATCTTCAATATCTTTGTCGATTTGAATTAAAAAAATGCCAGCGACTGTTTTCATTATTTTTTCAATTGTATCCAAGCGTATACTAGACTGTCACTCGAGCGAAACTCAAGTAGAAAGATCGACTGATTGCACAAAATGCAATTGTCGATGTTTTTACTTTTCAGTCATCTAGTCAATTTAAGGCATGAGTGGTTAATAAATGATTGAATCATGAATCTCCATATATGCTCACAATTTTATTAGGCTTTTTCTGATTGTAAGCAACGTTCAGGTACTGAGAATGAATGATTGATCTCGATGATATCTCCGGCGGATGTGGATGTAGTGTGAATGGCAGAGAGAAGAATATCAATACCTCCGTACGAACATCCTGAAACGATAGAGCAAACAGTTTTCTACAAAATGAGACAAAACAATTTTACAGGCACCTTTCAAGCCATCTTTTAACCTTCAACCAAATTACTGTATGTCACCCAAAAACCATCGTAGAAGATGGTTTACTCTAGCGTTCTGTGCAGTCTCAATAAAGTTATATGTTTGCGTCCTAGATGATGAAAAGTAAGGACTTTGATTTTCTTGAGGCATTGTCTTTGAATATCTAGTAATCATTTTTATTATTTTATATTCTTGTTGAAAACAGTATCCTCTGTTGGAATTACTATTTGTAATTTTTCTAACACTTACGACGGAAGAGAAGAATTAAAAATAAACGTCGTTGAATCATTTTGGTATCTTTAAAGTAGCCTATACTGAGTATTTCGATTTTCAGATTCACATTAGAATACCTTAATAGATCACTTTTTCTCATATGATCAGATAAAAAATAAACCACTTTTTGTTTGCAATATTCTTTTGCGAAAGTTAATATTTTTGCAGTACATATTCAACTGAAGAAGTTGAATGCTATTTGTTTTCCTCTTTTTTATATTGAGCAATACAAGGTAATGTCGAATCTTCTAAGATAGCTGTTTCAATTGAAAAATGAACTATACTGAAAATTATCAATCTTTGTATCATCTAAAAAAATCATAATTTGTTAACTACCAGTAATTAAATCATCGAATAGAGATGCCATGAAATGTGGGTGTGTATAATTCTTATTTACTCCGGCAGCCATACTCATACCCACACCCACACACATAAAGTTGATCTTTTAAGTACCTTACATTGCCGACAAAGTTAATCTATTTTCAAATCACGCACCAAACATCGTAAAAATTCCCTTCATTTTGTGAGGATGTGATTATTTGTATTTCAACCACATCCAACCTCAAAGATGAGCGTGTTCTTTTACATAGATATTTTTTCTGTGCGAAATACACGAAATTCGATTTCGTTGAATTAGATTATAGTGTAGTTTTATGGTTGAGAGATATTATGAGTTGTTTGCTATCTATATGATTTGTCTTGATCACGATTAAAGTATAGGTGTTGCTGCGTCTTCTAGGTGTTCTCTTCACTAATATAACCATATGCATACACTCCCACTCATTTAGAATCACATCCACATCCTCAAATTGCATAAATGAAAGTGTGTTCTCTTTATAGAAAAAAATGATTTTTGTATAAAACCGAATCTTTTAGTCTCTTGTCTCTATATTTGAAGATAATGTTAGTTATCTTGACAAAAGCAAAATAAATCTTACTGAGATTTTACAAACAGTACTAGTTTTTGTTTAGTGTGGATGCGTTTCAGTCTGGCAATCATCGATGGATAGTATTCGAATTGGCGTGTGGGTTAGGTTATCGGTATGATGTAAAGCATGCATCCATACACACTCTCATATCCCAACATGAATGCGTCATCGAAATAAAATCTACATTTGATCACCTAAAAGGGAAAGTTTAGACAAGCAGGTTGAAAGTGTTTATTTTTCTTTAAGAGATAGGTCTGTGTGTTTCATGATTCGTTCATGCTGACCCATTCTTTCCTTGGAGAAAATGATTTGTTTCTTTTGTTCGATAAGTGTACTACTTGATATATAAATACAGAATGATAACTCTCCACATGAATTGATAAAAATAAGAGGTATAATAATTCTTCAAACACACTATGAAGATGTGTAATCTCATTAATTAAATGCTAAAGGGGAAGGAACCGAAGATGAGATAAAAGATGAAAGGAATGAAAAATTCAAACATTATTCATCGGTCGTAGTCTTAAAACATTAACTGTGGATCAATAGATATATATATATCTGCCTTGCCAAAAATAAACGACCTACGTTATTCTTTCGATTTTTTTATTCATATTAATATTGTTATTTGTCAAATTTATTCAAGGTATATATTGCTTGGTTCTCTATCAATTCCACAAAATTTTACCATTATTAGTGAGAGAAAGTTGTTCAAAATAAAATGCCTGTGACACATACTCTTATGTGATTGAAACCGAAATTCATGTCGTTTTTTCTTTTGTTTAATGGAATTTTTTATTGATGCCAACATTTGTCAAATTCAAGGAATTTTATTAATTTTCTCCACTCTTTCGCGTTTCTTCGACAACTTTACAGAGAAAATTACTAATATCCTATTAATTTGGCACGACTTAACATATAACAGAAAACTGGATTCAGAAAGTAAAACTAAATGTCGGTTTCAATTGCACATGAGTACATCAAACAGACTACGATTTTCTCAGCTCCTTTCCTCTATTCATGGATAAAGTTGTGGTAATAGTTAGAGAAAAAAAATAATGCACATCAGGTATAAATTTGAGAATAAATTATAGTTATGTTGCTAAAAAGTTAAACAGAAAACGTGAGCAGTTTATTGTGGCCAGACAGACATAACCTATATATATTGCTATTGATTGATTGTTCTTTCATTTTTCGAGAAAATATAATGCGTTCAATCATTAAAGTCATCTTTGCTGCACTTCTGTTTGCGAACAGCATCTCGAGAGCTGCTGGCTTTCCTGGTCGACTTCAATTACGAGATGATCAACATTATGATGATTTAATTGCTTCAGAACGGCAGAGTGAAGAGGGTGACTACGATCAAACTTACAATGAATTGGAACAGCTTATCAGTCATTTAACAGAAGATGATAGGCAACTTGTCTACACTATCATTCAATTGACTGCATTGGTTGAAAGCCGTTCATGCATAAAAGATGAAGAAGCACGAAATAATTTCGGTAACGATTTATTCAATTCTTATGCAAAACAGTATGGCATGTTCCGAGTTGAATATTATAAATTACTTGATAAAATCGATAAAGCGGATCAAGTAATCTTGAAGAAGTTGGTTGATAGAACAAAAGTAACGGCATTGAAGAGGTGTAAACTATTATTCGATGATGAATAAGGAAACTGTTTTAACCACACTTATACTCTTATCGCGGTATTATATGTAGTTAGACATATTCAGACTTTTTAATTGCATAATAAAATTTAAAAATCAGTGGTAGCCATCGCATAAGATGAAGCAATTGTATGTATTTTATCGAG